GGTAACAATAGTTGAATTGACAAACATACTTCCGATTTATTAAAGTCGCAGTTTTATTTAAACTTAATTTTTAATAAATGCAATACACAATTAAAATTGTCTCATGGGGATTTTTAGAATTTGACAGCTTGATTGGAGATTGAAGATAGAAAATGAAGTAGGTAGAGACGTCATACATACCATGTTGCGATATGACAAGTGGACGCACTTTGAGTCATATTTTGATTAATTTTAAGTCAATAATTTTATATTTGAAGATTGACGGAATAAAAATGATTTTATATCATTTAAATCACGCTCTTTTAAAACATGGAATTTATTCTCACCAAAACTGACTCGCTCGAGTTAGACATATGTCGTAAAAGGATGATGCAAAAGTGCAGGCACTTTTAGTTCTGTCATTGTATCTCCTCTTTATTCTATATCTATGATTTGAAAGATTATTATGCCCCGCATTACTTTGTGACGTACAGTGTGCATTGCGCAAAATAAGGTGATTTTAGTGATTTTAAGTATACACATTGTTTCGCGTATCTTTTGACGTGTTGACCTCTCTTTTTAGTTAAAGACTTTCGGAAAAACATCTTGCTCCCTTTATATATTTTCTTAAAAGAACGTGTTTTTATGAAATGTAACTAGGTGTTCACTGCACAAATGAACCAAAGGAGAAACCGCCCCTTATACCAGACATTATTATAATTCAGTTTTACATAATAGACTAGTTCTAATTATTAGAGATTTATTGAAATTGAAGTTTTTTGGTCAACCAGTATTTATAAAGGACCTTATTTAAATAACGCTTTACCTTAATTATCAATGGACATTTTAGTTATTAAAAGTAGACAATTTTAGAGTTAGATTTAATTTGACATTCCCCTTAACCCTTAACCCCCCTTCAATTTTTATTCATAAGCTTCGTCCTCTTATAGAGCTTGATTTTACCTGAAAATTTCAAGTTGATATCGTTTTTCGTTTTCGATTAAAGATTTTTAAAATTTTCAAACCCTTCCTAACCCTCCATTTTTACATACATTTTTTTTTTATCAATAGGACTCATCTTGATTTTTTTTTATATTTTCAAGTTGATATCATTTTTCGTTTTTGACTTATCGTGCGGACAAAAAACGTGACAGTGGACGGGCGGACGGACATTTTTAAAAGTTATTTAAAATTTAATAAAAACATTTAAATTTGGACCAATATTAAAAATTCTGACTTCTTGAAAGTAAACCTATAATACTCTTCACAGACTACTGTGTGAAGAGTAGTTACTCTATTGAAAAATTATGTAAGACATTAATACATTTTTTTCAAATTTAATTAATAGAACAAAAGTTATATGTGAATTTAAATTGTTCTGGTAAGCTGTAAAAATGAATAATTTCTATATATATTTAATTAAGCTTTGGAATTTGGCTGTCCAGTGATATTAAAACCATGTCATTCGGTTGTTTCTCGACCACGTTCTCTGTATTAACCCGTCTATCTAATTTCGCTCGAATAAAACTCGGCATTGTGAAGAAAATTGCACAACAATGAACTAAAAAAGACTCCAATTACATATTCTTAATGTGGGTGGGTATAATTTAAGACGCTTCTTTAGAACCATCTTTAATCTCTAATAACATACATAATAGATACTCATGCATATAAATATCTGGGCTAAATTTTTATATACAGTATGTTTCAATGAAGATTATAAATTATAAATCAAAAATATATAATAAATTTTCAAATATAATTTTTTTTGGGAAATTCAAAAACATGGCTTACCTACCTATTCATTTTATCATCCCTATAAGAACATATCTACTTTATTTTAGAAAAATTATATTATTTATGTTACCTTAGTGTCGGCTTGTGGCCTAATCTAGAGGGAGCTACTTTTGAAAGGTACTCTAGGTATAAATAATTTATCAAAACTTACCAAAGTACTTTAGGTGATCCGATAGGTAGTATCCCAGCTAGCACATAACCTTGCCAAGCCTTTTGGCGATATTGCTTTAAGGAATGTAATAACCGTAAATGCAACGTTCATGAAAAGTTATTGAGGGAAATGAAAACCTCGCAAAACTTCTATTTGTTACTTACCTACTTAACCTACCTGTTATGTTAACACAACGTAATAAAGTAATTTGCTAAAAAAAGTATCCTCGAAAAGTACTATGAACATCTAATCTGAATTCGGAACGTTTATGTTTATGTCAATTGTAACTTGTCACTTTTTCTTGTCATATGTCATGGTTTTGATGGTTGCTTTTTAATTAGTAGAATTTATTTTATGAATAATTTTTATACATTTGAGTAGAATTGGTAAGGATCCTCTATAAAATAGAAATCTATTTTCTAAACCATTTTCTTCGTTTCAGATTACAATGCCTGGTGTAAATTTAATATTTCATTTATTAGGTACCTACCAAATACAAAATGGTTAATTTACTATAAAAACAATGAATGGTGTAGATAAACGCCGTAAACGAGAAGATAATCATCCGAATTTAAGAAGCAAGAGTAAATACTACAGACTTGTCTAAAGAAGAATATATAACGCCCGAAATTTTATAAAAAATGAATCTATAGCTAGGTACATGGCAAGTCTATATTGTAAAAAAAACAATCAGATTAAAGCAGTTCATTATAATCAACAGGCTTGTTGTGCCTGCAACTCTAATCATCAGTTCAAGTACAAACCTAGAAGAAAAGTTGAGAGAAATCACAGAAGATGCCCTCGAGCATACATCAAAATATCTTGCTAAAAAACATGAGTTTTTAATAAAATATGCATACCTAACTTGGAAATCCATAATCAAGCATAAAATTTGTAAATACACTAACTGCATAAAATATCTTCTCTCATTTCCAATAATTCCAAACAAATGATACTTTATGAATGAAATGATTCATCTATGGTTTCTTTTATCTAAGGTCAAATAGAACAGAGAAGACAATTTGAGAGTTTTAAAATCATTTTAATAAGCTATTTGTTTCTTTAATAAAGATATAACAGTTTTTAGAATTTCTTAATATACAGGGTCCCTACTATCTCATAGGGACAGTATTGCTACTTCGTAAATGGTAACAGATGGAAAAAACCTTTGATATCTACAGGGAGGTTCAAAATATCGGACAAAAAATGAAAATTGTAATTTAACTTTTGTCTATTACTGTTTAAGAAATAGCAATACTGTCCCTATGAAATAGGTTCCTAGTTCATCAATTTTGCCCATTCCTCAGTGCCTATAATGATAGTAAATGATAATTATTAATCCTTAAAAATCTATACGCTTTTACACTAACACTGTGTAGTGATATAGTGATATCCTCCAGAGACCATCGGATTCTCATCTGGCTACCTAGGTTCGTCAGTTTTTTTGTCTGGTCCATTTGGCAGTCTTACTAAAATATCTTCGTAAATTGCAATGCTCCATTCAGCTTTTTTCAATTTTATCCTAAGTTTGTTATTCTCTTCTTCCAAAATTTTTATTTTGTTCCCCAGTTCTATTATTTCCTTTTCATTTTTCCTAAAACACACAGATACAATTATTTTATTGTTAACAATGATGATTGTTTTAAAGGAATAATAAATACAAATATACGTACTCAGCTCTTGGCTCAGATTGTAACCGACTCTCTACATCCATCAGCTGCACACCGATGTCGTGATCTAAATCCAAGTTTTTTGGGGGCTGTTCGGGAAAAGATTCTATATCGGTAAGTTCTAATTTAACACTAGCAGCTTTAGTTGCTTTTAACATTCCAGCTACTTCATCCCTCTGCCTCCTTTTAGATGATCGCATATTACGTTCTTCATTGTCCCTTTTCTGGATTTCAGCGGGAAATTCGTGAATATTTAGTGTGGGCACAGCATCAGGCTTCAAATGACGGCTGTTTATTGGCGTATATCCCAACATTTTCTGCTGCAGAGGCACTTCAAAACAGGAGTTTACGAAGTGAAGAGAGCAAATACGAGCTGCAAAAAAAACGTTTAGTCATAAGATATTAGGTAACTGCCAACGCCGAACAACTACTGAACCAATTTTGTTTACAAAAATTGAATTGCAAGTGTTTTAATTTGAGAGCACAGTCTTTTGTGAAGCGCCCCTGTTCAATCCATTGGAGTTAAAACCACTCATTCAAAAAATTGTATATTATTTATCCTGCAAAACCGGCAAATATAGTACAAGTTAAATAAATTGCCTTTGACGCGTGCCAAAATACACGTAATCACCAGCACATTCCTTTATATATTCTAATTTGTATATAGTATTATACAGCACATATAATTTTAGGTTAGGTTAGGTTAGGTTAGGTTAGGTTAGGTTAGGTTAGGTTAGGTTAGGTTAGGTTAGGTTAGGTTAGGTTAGGTTAGGTTAGGTTAGGTTAGGTTAGGTTAGGTTAGGTTAGGTTAGGTTAGGTTAGGTTAGGTTAGGTTAGGTTAGGTTAGGTTAGGTTAGGTTAGGTTAGGTTAGGTTAGGTTAGGTTAGGTTAGGTTAGGTTAGGTTAGGTTAATCTCATTCTCTGTGGCGAGTGACGCGATTTCGTTTATCAAATTTGTAGACAGTTTTAGTGTAATTTTAATCTAAATATAATAAACTAAATTTGATATCCCTCTCCTAGTTTTATTTATTAGTTATCTAAGAGAAGCTTCATGTTTTGTTTAGGCATGAGTATGGTTTTATTACAGTTTATTGAAAGCAATATTAATAAAACTATTATCTTAAATATTACTAAAAATGTTTACATTTACTAATCGAGTTCCTAACGTGCATTTCATTGCCTCAGTGAAAAATAGTGCAAGTGCAAAAGCTGTAAGTCATAATAAACCTTAATAACATTTTAAAATTTACATCAACCTGCCAGCAAATCCGAAAACTTTTATCGACAAGTTTCTGTTATCACTGCACGAAAAATAGCTGGCAATGTCGACCTGTGCTAATTGCTTTAAAACGATTTCAGATCGCGAACCTATGAAGCCCCAGTGCGATGGGTGACAATTTTTCATGCATTTGAACTGTACTGATTTAAAAGCCGATGATCGTTTCACTCGCCAAAAACTTCGATGCATTAAAATTGTTTGTAACCGTTGCTCCTCAATCGTAGATCAGTTTAGCGAAGTTAAGGGTATCCTAGAGACATTTAAAATAAATATTGATGATTCATTTGATGAAAAATTTAAAGGTATACAAAATAATATCGAGTCATTCAATAATCAGCTATCAGAATTTAAGGACCAAGTTAAAAATTCCGAATCTCTTTGTTCTCCAGAATTTATCGAAACTGTTACTGCAGAAGCAGTTGATAGAATGCGCCATGACAAGAATATTCTAATTCGCGGGATCGCAGAGGCCCAAGGAGACAGCGCTGTGAAGAAAGAACACGATAAAGAAAAACTCGATTTGATACTGAGGTCGGTTCGACAGCCGAAATGGTTGCTTTTTATAGAATCGGAAAACCAAATTCTGACAATAAATACCCTCGAATGATTAAAGTCACTTTTCAATGCGAATCTGGTGCTAAATTTATTCTTCGCTCAAAACATAAACTGATGGAAATTAATTTAACCAAGAATTTTAGTATCACCGATGACAAAACTAAAATTAATACCTAAGCGAACTTAGAACTAAATTGGAAAATAAAAATCGAAATGGCACTGACGACTGGACTATCAAGTACATTAAAGGATCACCAAAGAGCGTACAAAAATTTCAGCATTAACTGGTTTATCTTCAACTTTCAATGATTGGCTCTTATTGTACACAAATTTAGATTCTCTTCCCAAAAAATTCAATGAATTTATTTGTCTTATTCAATCTGAAAAACCAGACCTTATTTTAATTACCGAAACGTGGCTTAATGTAAATATTCCAGACAGCTTAATCTCTATTCCTAATTAACAGAATTTTAGATATGATCGAATTGATAGACGAGAAGGGGGAGTTTGTATATATGTAGCTTAACATATCTTAGACTGTTTTACAATCTCATCTGTAGATATCTCAATTCCTCGTATTGATTCTCTTTGTTTGCTGCAACATCTCAATTGCCGTATTACTCTTGCAGTTATTTACCGTACCCAGACATATCTGTCGTGGTTCTGAAAAATTTTATATAGTAGGTGATTTCAATTTTCCAGACATCCAATAACTTCTATACCTGACACGCAAAATGCTACCAATCAGTTCATGGAATTTATCCACAATTCTAGTTTTGTTCAACTAATAACCCAACCCACGAGATTTAGAATAAATCAGGAACCTTCTACCCTCGATCTACTACTTACCAATGATAAAAATCTCTTAACCCCACCGGTGTATCTCCCGTCAGTTGGAATATCTGATCATGCAGTCATAACGTGCCGTTTACAATTTCAATCATTCTCTTCTTGAACATACAATCACACTATCTTCTCACTCACAAACTTTGGTGAAGTTTTTTCCTATCTAGACCAACTAAACTGGATTAATATTATCCCTGAAAACAATGATCCGAGCTGCATGTGGAATAATATAATAATAATAATAATAATAATAATAATAATAATAATAATAATGTTTATTTACAGATAACTTGTTTTTACAGTGATACGCTAAAATAAAAATTACATATATAATAAATATTGTAAATAAACACAGGTGACCCATAAAACCTAAGGGTTGTGCATGGGCTTGATAATTTATTTAAATTATTTGCTCTATTTATTAATTTTTTCTTTTAACAGCATTATAATATACATATAAATTATAGCTATGAAGTAATGTAATGTACCTAATGTTTTTTTTATCATTTTTTTTTTACTTAATTCGAATATTTTAAACTAACTACAACTATCTACCAAAGAATGTAATATATTTCTATCGGTAATTTTAAGAAATGATTTTATTCTAGACTTAAAAAGATTATATGAATTTATAGTCCTTATGTACAATTTGTAAATATCTGGAAAAAAGTTATAAATTTTTTTTGCTAAATAACTCAGTTTCCTCTGACCTAATGCTTTTTTGGCAATAGGAATTCTAGTATTTCCTGCATGTCTAGTTCGAGTTTCATAAGTGTGTTCAATTCCACAGATTGAAGATCTATTTTTGTAAAGATAGTTTGCAACATTATAAACGAAGAGTTGTCGAATATCAAAAATATGTGTTTCTGAAGGGTAAGTTATATCTTTAAAATACATTATTTTAATTATTTTTTTTTGAATGATCTCAAGTTTTTTTAGGTGGGTCAGCAAAACTGAGCCCCAGACTAATATGGCATATGATAAACGTGACTCCACAAATGCGTTATATAAAATTTTCAGGTGAGTTATGTCTAAACAATTTCTCATATATTTAAATTTATATAAAACTTGTCTTAAATTATTTACAATGTTATTTATGTGTTTATCCCATTTCAAATGAGAATCTATATGAATTCCTAGATATTTAGCCTCATGTTTGAGGAAAATATTTATTTGGTGTCAAAATACAGTTAATGATTGTGTACAATCTCATACTAAAAACAAAATAAACAGAAGAACAAATCTGAAACCCTGAATAAATAATCAACTGCTGTCTATGGTAAAACATAAGAAACACCTATGGAAAAAATTTAAGCGAACCACCAATATGAACGATTTTTCGGCTCATCGACTATTCTCCAATCAACTAAAGGCCGCAGTTATCGAAGCAAAGTATAACTATCAGGAGTACATCGTCAACTGTGCTGATAGCAAAAAGTTCTATAAATATGACATCCAAAGTGTCCGTACCTCTTCTACAAAAAGAAAACGGAGGTAAGTGTGCCAACAATACTGAATCTGCCCAACTTCTTTCTGGCACCTTCTGTAATGTCTTCACCCTTGAAGATATGACATCACCACTTCCAGATATTCCACTAAACAGAATACAGGCCTCTATTTCCAACGTGTCCTTTGACCCAGACATAATATAAAACAAACTTAAAATGCTTAAGTCCAACTCTTCGCCTGACTTGGATGATATCTTCTCTTTTCTTTTAAAATATTGTGCTGACACTCTCTGTTATCCTATTTCCCGTATAATGACTTCTTCCTTTAATTCTCACATCTTGCCATCTACATGGAAGACTGCGTCAGTGACTGCCATATTCAAAAAGGGCAATAAGGTTGACCCAAATAACTATAGACCGATAAGCTTTGTACCAATAGTTTATAAAGTAATGGAGTCCATAATATATGAGATAAGGTAACTGACTTTCTTGAAAACGAACGTGTACTTCCCACCCAACAACATGGATTTATCAGAGGACGATCTACCTTAACTAATCTCCTGCAGTCTGTCAATGACTGGACGAAAGCCTTAGATGCTGGTCTTCCTACAGATGTTATATACTTTTTCTAAAGCCTTTGATAGATTTCCAAAGGACCGACTTCTCAAAAAGATTAAACACCTAGGAATCCGAGGCAACTTAATAGCTTGGGTAACGGACTTCTTAACCTCCAGACAATTTCGCGAGTTGGTAATAGTTTCTCTCAAACCAAATCCATTATCAGTGGAGTGCCTCAAGGGTCAGTCTTTGGTCCCCTACTTTTTCTATTATATACTGCCGATATTTCTGTGCACATAAAAAGCTGTTGCTCCTTCTACGCAGACGATACAAAAATCTACGCTAATCTGATTGCGGACTATCAGTCTCTTCAATCTGATCTAAGTGCGATATCAAAGTGGAATTCAGACTGGTTGATAAATGTGTTGTTCTTCATATCGGTAAAAACAATCCTAAATTAGTGTATAATATTAATAATAATGCCTTAAAGACAGTATCATCCCAAAATGATCTCGGCGTTATCATTACTAAAGACAACATGGTCAGAGCATATATTATCAGTAAGCAAACAATCAAACTCTCAACTATTCTTATTAAAAAAGACTTTTGGCAATATTTCTCCCTCAACATTTTTGAAAATATACGCAACATATGTTCGTCCTCGCCTGGAGTACTGTGACCCTGTTTGGTGTCCGGTAGTAATCTCGAATCAAAAGAGGTTGGAAAATGTGCGGCGACTTGCAACAAGGATTGCGTATGGTATAAGAAGGCCACTGTATGAACAGCGTCTGTCTACCGCAAATCTGACTCTTTTTAGTAAGCGTCGACTGCTTGGTGATTTGTTTTCGCGCAATTAGGCACATGACCTGCGCCTACGTGGGCACATGTTCAAATTAAAAAAGGAAAATTTTAACTCTAGAGTTAGGCCAAATTTCAACCCCTGAAATTGAATGACCGACTTGTGTAGGGGAAGGGACAGCTATTATTATTTGCCGTGACGCTCCGGGGCGACTTAAAGATGATTGATGGTGCCATTTGACTTACAGGTGAGGAAAACCCGGTAAAACCTCACCCACCATCATCGAGACGGTAACCAGTGTTGTTCCTGGTTGTACAATTGTACAAAAAGTTGTACAATCAGTTATGCGGTTGTACTGTTGTACGCACTTTTGAAAAAAGACAGACATGTACAAATATTTATGTAAAAAGTCTACGATTAGTTAAATATTAAAATTAATTAAAAAAATAAAAGTTTAAATTTGGCGCCATTCGCGACCAATCAGTACACCGTTTTACATCGAAAATATATTTTAAACTGGAAAAACGAAAGAATTTTAAGCATCGGGAAGTAGTAAGCCATAGTCTGTCACTAAAAAAGAAGAAGATTAATTAGTGGTTATACAATCGAACGTAAAAGTGTACAATTTTGACACAGAAAGTTGTAAAATTCAAAAATCCCTAGGAACAACACTCGGTAACGCATGGCGAATAGTTTCGGGGTCGATTTGTTAACCTTTAAAATCACACAAGTCGTTAACATTAACAAAGCATGAAGTAAATTTCCGACACATACAAAAAGCCTTATTGTAAATAAGTTGCTTGTTTTCATTTCTAATGATAGAATAAACAATATGCTATTAGTCTGTGTGTTTACCGATCGCGGATAGTCCTGATGAACTTTTATTTTCAAAAACCAATTTTTCCAATTAAACAGAAGTAATTCACGGTATTATCCATTAGAATTCGGACTTAACATAAACCTCTAAAACGCACAAAGATTTTTCAAATTACATTATTATTCGTTTAATGTTTTCTGGTTGAAACTAGCTATTATTGCAGCTGAAAGTGATTTACAGAAAAGTACAATATTTTTTTATAGGAATCATAGATGTACGATCTGGTTTATTCATAAAACGCGTGCTCGCACCTCAGATAAACAAGCTCGAATAACCCATCCCCACTCAATATAGCAGGCGTCTCGCTCTTTTTAATGCGGCAGCCGATGCTACATCCTAAGATTAAACATAATCTGAAATTCTGAATACTTGAAATAAATAAGGTTTTTATTATGAATGAATGGATTAGTCTAGTAGTTTTTGGTTGTTGGTACCTATCTGTCAATTAGTTTATGTAACCGGATAAGCATTTTACATGACATCATTGACACTGAAGCGTAGTAAATATGACTCAAAGTTTTATTATTTTATAAGAATCTACCTACCTACTTACCATTTTTTAAGTTTATTGGTCCTTTTCGGCCACATGCGGCAATCCACTGCTTGGCAAGATGTTTATTGCTTGGAAATCTGAAATATTTGATGTCTGTTCCCCTCGTAATTTTGCTATAGTTTTTACAAGTAGCCACAGAACAATTTGACATTTTACAGTTTTTTTTATTTTCCCAATAGGTTATATAGATAGGTATAGAACTCACAGAACACACAACTTAATCACTTTAGGTAGAAATACACACAAATAAAACACTAAACTCCTAAAAAACTAAAAACGAACAGCATACAAGCAAAATACCTAGTTATCTTTAAAAACGAATGTGTATTAACTATTTATCATTTGTTTCGTCCGATTAAAAATAAATGAAATGAATACCTAACTGTTTGTTGTCTGCCACGCTACGTCAAGCCTGGAAACTGAAATTCGACCGAGTTAGTAGGTTGTTAGCAGTGTTGCCACAAGCTTCTCATGATTCTCCGCCAACAGATAACCAAATTCTCTAACAACACACAAGTTCTCGACCTAACTAATGTTCTTTTTTTTTTCTTCTTATAAAAGGAAAAATTATTGTTAAAGACGGTGAATTATCGAAATATCCTGGGGAATTTGAATTCTTTGAAAAAAATTGATATTGTACGCTCTGCTAAATTTTAATCTTCGCCAAAATTCAACGAACCTTATTAAATTCACCACCCTTTGGCAATACTGATCCTGCTATTTACTTAAAATATTATAAATAAAGTTTTTATTTAAAAGTATGACTATGGACAACATTTTTCAATGGCCCATTAGCTCAGTTGGTTAGAGCGTCGTGCTAATAACGCGAAGGTCGTGGGTTCGATCCCCCCATGGGCCAGTTTTTTTTTCTTAAGTTTGAAATAAGAAATGAATATTTTGTTTTAATCTTTAATTTTAAATAAAAATACTTCTTTTTTATAAAATATATTCAATTTAAAATAAATTATAACTGATAACAACTATGAATTGTTTTTAGATCTGGCTTACCATTAAAACAGCGTCTCGAGTGTAAAACTGGTTGCATAAACTGTTAGGATTGTATTATTATATTCTTCATATTATAGTAGTGTGTTTCATAAATAAAGTAGTTTATTTTTAATATTCTTGCATATAACGATTGTCAAAGAGAATTTTTAAATTGACACACTATATGTGCGTAATAGTTTAAATATTTACGAGCAAAACTTTTAAAGGTTGTAACCATAAAACCATTTTTTTTTACTTATTTTAGTTCAATGGACCGGTTTAGTTTTTATTTAATATTTATGCCTTTCAATCAGTGGACCTTATTCTCATATCAAAATCTGTTTATACAAACAGAAAACAAAATAAGCGAATATATGGCCATTTACAGGATTCTACCAATTTAGCATATCTACTCAGTGGAAATTGTAGGTAGTTTGTGCAACAAGAGCAGATATGGGCAATCCACTCGAGTTGTACAGTATATTTTTTCTACGACCCACTAACAAAATCTACAAATTTAAAAAATTATTTTAGGATAAGACAAAATAATTAATTTTAAAATAATTTATAAATTTTATTAATTTATAAAATAAAATAAACTTAAAAAACATTGTCCCGAGCCCAAATTCGAACCCGGGCTATTCGCGTGGAAGGCAGATGCTCTGCCCACAGCTCCACGGCCACTTGTGTGATTTAAGTTTTAATACTTGCAATTAAATTATTTTTATAAAGTTTGATAAAAATTTTCAAAATGTTAACCAAATAAAAATGCTATTATTTATCGTTTCTACACAAAAACAACGTTTCAACGTATATTTAATCTCAATAACCAAAAAATATATACAATTGGTTTGACATAATTATCACTTATTTAAAAATGAAAGATAATAGTGGTTGGGTGTCCAAAATATGAACTGTGATTGGTGCATTTCATTATTTTGCAGTGTTCTCACTACCTAGAATGGATATGAAATATATTCGTTCAGTTGAACGCATAGCATACTTTTTCGTTTTGTAATCTGAGCTAATATCCATGTGGATGTAGAAAAACGATATTATCTATTTGTTATTTCACTACGGCGCCACTTCGACAGATATACCGGGTGTTCATTTTAAAGTGTTACAGTCAAATACCGCCGAAAATGTGCATTTTAGAAAAAAAAGTTTCAGACAAAAGTTTTATAGTTTTTTGGGGGAAATATTTTTTTGTAGTTGGCCATAATATGGCCATATCGAGGTGGACTTTGTTTTTTTAAATGGGAATCCCATTTTTTTCTTACATATTCTTAAAGTACATAAAAAAATAAGAAACTTTTGAGGGAAATATTTTTTTATTGGACTTTTACTTTTTGAGTAACAGCTACTTGAAAATGTTGCTGCGCGAAAAAAAAGTTGGCCATATTATGGTTAGCTATAAAAAACGGTTTTAGCCAAAAGTTTTTCCCCACAAAGCTATAAAACTTTCGTCTGAAACGTTTTTTTTTTTATAAAAAGCGGTATATAGCTGTAACGCTTTAAGTTGAACACTCGGTATATTGAAACAAAAAACAGATTTTGATAATGTTTAGAATTTGACATTTTTTCTTGTTTAAAATAATTCGTTATTCATCTTTTTATATTAAAGTTAAAATACAGTGTTTGAAAGTTAACATTCTTTTTTATGATTTTTGCTTACATATAGGTAGGTCAGGTGTGAAAAGGAAACAAAATAAATATTTTTCATAATTTAAAGAAAGCTGCATTAAACGTTTGAGGCGCGAGGCCCTTCAGGCCGCGAGGCCGTAGGCGGTGGCCCACGTCTCCCACGACTTGCGCCGCTTCTGAACAGAATAGGAATATCCATGAACTTTATTTATCTCTTTATTATTTTGGTACGATCTTTTACCTTCCTTTTATTTTTAATTGCTAAATTTCCTTCTAAGCTATCTACAATAACTTAACAAGTAACTATTAGTTAACTGTCTTCGCATTATTTACATATTTTATCTACGAAATCAAATAATATTTAATCACTTTCTAAATTTTTCTTAATTACTCCCAAAATATCTTATCGCGTGCTCATCCAACAATCAAAACTGGATTAGACTACTTCATAAATATTTTAAAACTATTAAAACACTTTCGAAGCAACTTCAAATCATCGATTTGTAATACAAAAAAGGGGGCTTAAGTTGTTGAGTCCACTTTCATTCAAAAATGATTCATTACGTTGCTCTACGTTGTGTTGATGAGATGACGAGTGACCCAAATTTTATAATTTTTTGTTTCAAACTACTGCGTGTGATGGAGTGTCGGTTGGCGAGATTTAGAAACGCGATTTAAAAGGTAGGTAAGTAATGGGTTTATCGATAAATCAAACATAAAATATTCGATATAAATACGTACCACACTCCGTTTGAAATAGGTTGTGTACATTTCTAGGAATTTGATATAAGGTATTGCTTATATCACTTCTTTTCTGGTTATACTCCAAAGAAGCCTGATACGCAGCTGTTGCGAATCAGATTTATGTTGTAGTTTTTGGTATACACTGTATTGTTTTTTAGTAAAAAACAAAAAATTATTATATTATGATTGTTTATAAAGAAATATTTTCCTAAAAACATTTTTAGTCCTTTTATTGAAGTTTTTTCCACATTTGTGGCGACCGTGACAGGACTGTTTTAATTTTCGTTGAATTTTCTTCGCTTATCATGGAAATGGCTAAGAAATCAAGGAAAGTTAGCACAGCTTCTTTTACCAAGCAGTCTAATATTATTAATAAAAAGTTAGAAGACAAACCATTGCCTTTAGTTGAGGTAAGAGCTTTGATGAATGCTTTAGAAGTAAAGTATGACGAAATTCGTAATTTAGACGCAAGCATATTTGAATACATGCTAGTGAGTGACCCCTCAGAAGAGCAGTTAGAATTAGAAACTGAAGTAGTAGATGAATACGTTAGTAAGTTTCACTTACTTAAAGAACAAACGAATGACTTCTTAAAAGGAACACTTCTGAAGCTGACAGCGAAAGCACTCACACGGCTTCTGATAAGGAGTCAGATATGTTAAATGACTAATATTCTTATTAATCAATCTTTTATTTAGATAACGTAAACTGCCAAAAACATTGACAACTATCATAACATGAAATTATACATATACAGGGTATTCCAACAAGATATAAAGAAGAGGTTTAAGTTGCCAAAAATAGAGATACAAAAATATGCTGGCGATTTGGAAGGTTGGTTTGAATTTTGGGGGTTATTTAAGAAGATACACGAAGTTACTGGTATTGATAATAAAGAGTAATTTCAGTACCTTATTCAGTCTACGAAATCTGGCTCCAGAGCACGTAAGGTAGTTACCAGTTATCTACCTTCAGAAGAAAATTATTCGAAAGCTATTGAAGCTTTAAAAGGTAGATTTGGTCGTGAATATTTACTCATTACACAAGAAAACTCCTAAATGTGGTAATGATAAGTCATAAACAGCCACTTGCCTTACTTTATGATGATTTGGTGTGTCAGATTCGATCTTTAGAGTATCTTGGAGTTATTACCAATACATGGGCCAATGTTGTTTCCTTTGGTGGAGTCTTGCTTACCTGAAGATCAACTTAGAGTATGGCATAGAAAAGGTACAGGAGGCTCTTTAAGGAATGCTGAGAGTACACTTAATGACCTCATGGATTTTATTAGACAAGAAGTCGAAAATGAAGAAAAGGTAACGATGGCTACAAGAGGTATTGGTAATTTGAAATTTAAAGAAGTCAAAGAAAATAAAAAATTTAAGATGGAGCCAATAGCGACTGCATCAGGTTTATTAGCTTCTAGAAGTAAAATGTTTGCTTGTACTTTTAATGGAAAACTCTCTGACTATGTACTGTTTCCAGTTCCAGCAGTGTCTTCTTACAAACACTTTTAGTAATTCTCCGAGGCAGCAATAATTATGAACGAGTAGTTCGTGCTTTAATCGATATTTTATTTAGTTTTAGAATTCCAGAAAAACATTAAGAGTAGTTTGCCCATTGAACTTCATGAACACTGATCCAATCACTGAACTAATATAATTTATGTTTAGGGGCCTATTTCATAAAAATGACTTATATTATTAGTAAATAATATTAGACTCATAAAATAATAACATAAGTTGGCTGTTTTCTGTTTCACAGATTATTTTAATTTACACATATTATTAGTGATAGAATCTTTTCTAATATATTAGCAGCATGGCAGCTACCTTACTGAAGTTTAGTTGATATGTCAAAAGGTAGTATTTTTAATTGTGAAGTGACATTCTTATTGAAATAAAAGATGCCTAAATTAAGCAAAAGAGAAGAAAAGAAAATGAAAAATCAAAACTTATTAAGAAAAATATTAGAATTAAAGAATGAACATTTTGGTCAGTTTTCTACTACTATTACCAAAGAGTCACGGATAACAGCATGGATAAATGTAAGAGATTATGCTGTTTCAATAGGTTTAATAGGAAGGGACAAAGAGTTTTGTTATGTACGCGACGCAACTTGGCCCAACCTAAGGTCCAGAACAATGGTAAGTGTTATCTTTATTTATAATACGACTACATAAATCCAGTTATTTACTTTAATTGTATTTCAATTGCATTCTATGAGATGTAGCCACATTTAAGAATTAGTTTTTATTACATAATGCTTTAACAAAGCTTATTCAACATTGGTGTGTGACTAAATAATGGAAACATTGTAATAAAAATCCATCAGATTAGAGCCTAAGGTGGATTATAACTTTTAGTACTGTAAAACTTCTAATTATTTTTTAAATTTTTTTATAACACAGGTCTGCAAAAAAAAATGATCTCAGATGTAATCAGTAATTTTTATAAAATTTTTAGTGGTGATTATGGGAAAATATTTAAAAATATTCCATCAAATACAGTTTTGCAAATATTTTCAAAGAAGCTGTTATATTTTACAAGCACTTTGGCTTTTATAGTTATGCATTTTTTCAATTTCTGTATAATATGTAAACCATGCCATCTTTTATCTGCTTATTAAAATTTAGAAACTTTAGCGTAAAATTTAGTTTTTTACCCAAAATACACCATTCTTGTGAGATATTCTGAGGTGGCCGAAAAAATTAATTTTCTTTTTGAAATCAGCACTAAAAATACACTATAAATCAGTTATTTGAACAATTTTAAAAATATTTTTTGTATCCTGTGTAATTAATGCTAATAGTTTTTAATTTTACTATTGAGTCGTCATCACTTGTAAAGCATATAAAAGATTTTTATTTGATTACAGACAAAAATTGACAAATCAAATAAAACTGGCGCTCAAGGAGGTCCCGAATCAAAATTAGATGACACTGATAAACAAGTGATAGAAATAATTGGAAAGAAATCTCCTGTTGTTCAAGGAATTGGCGTACCCGATTTAATGGAAACTGTTTCCGAAGTTATAGACATTACCGAGGACTTTAGTTATTCTATGTCCAATGAAAACGATGATAAGGGCACAACAAAAAGCAAGTGCTCGTTTCAACAAAGTTCATGTAGAGGCAACTAAAATCATTTCTAAACAAGTCAACCTAGTTTCTAATTTCAAATGCCTACCAATTTATTATTTTGCAGAACAAAAAATATATACAAAATAAATTTTCCACTATGCTGAAAAATAAAATGTTTTCTCTACATTTATAGATATTATTTCAGGCATTCCGAAAGTGATTATAAAAGTAATGTAATGTTTCCTCGCCACCTGCTTCTCTAGCTAATTGTTCGCCGTCGTCTACCATATCAATGTTAATATTATTTTCTTCTCTATTATTATACCTCTCAACGCAACATTTTATTACCTCGCAGGCAAATCTAGGTTTTAATCTTAAATGGTTAAGGCATGGAAATTTTTCTTTCAAAATACCAATGGCACATTCAATAACTCGCCTTGTACTTTTGTGTGCTCTTAAAAATCTTTCTTGTGCAGGATCTTCTGCATTACGAAGTACAGGTGGTATAAGCCAAGGCTTTAAAGGATAAATTGAATCACCTAACAGTACGGCATTTGAAAAACGTCTCCAACCATCCTCCATTCTGATGCTAAGTGTACGTCGCCTCCAAACTCGTGCATCGCTTACGCTATCAGGCCAATGGGCATTTACATAATAAAACTTCATTGTTGGACCACATAATAATAATAATACTCTCCCTAATTCACCCCCTTACGAGTGAATTTTAACCCCTGAAGTCGAATGAACGACTTGTGTAGGGGAAGGGACGGCTATTATTATTATTTGCCGTGGCGCTCCGGGGCGACTTAAAGATGATTGATGGTGCCAGTTGACTTACAGGTGAGGAAAACCCGGAAAACCTCACCCACCATCATCGAGACGGTAATGTATGGCGAATTTTTTTAATCTGCACATACAAGCATCACATTAATCATGTTAATTAAAGTCCCGTCCACTGCTCCAGCCATTTCACTAAACCCATGAATTACTTCAGCCACATCCACTGGCCAACAAACTGTTTCGTTTATTAAAATTTGATTAATTGGTGTAACAACTCTGTGAACAACTCTGCATACAGTCGCTTTACTAATACCATGCATATCTGCAACACCTTGGTACTGCGTCCCACTTCCAAGCCAATGTAGTGCACTTATCAATTGCTGCTTGGCTGTAAGCGCATGATTTCCTTGAGTATCAGAAGAGAAAAGATGTTCTATCCGTTGAGTATTATATTAAAACTTCCAGTAGGTAACTTAAACCTTCCATTGAATTCGTAGGTTTCTTCTAAATGTACATATGCAATTCTCTCTCTGAAAATTCTCGGTCGTCTAACTACAATTCTAATTTCATCGTCACTTGAATCTGAATCCATAATTTTCAAATAAAACATGTCACATAGCAGTTATTTATTATTTAACATTATTTGTTTACTTTAACTTCAAATTTTAGAAATATAATAAACTAATATTAAGAGTAAGTCTACTAATAACTAATTTTATAACCTTAAAATATTATTAAACTAAAACTAATATTTCTTACTCATAATTAGAGGGCGGAATATATGCATCAAAATATAACAAAATATGCGCATATATATGCATCGTTTTTACCAAAAATATGCAGTTATTTTGTCCAAATATGCCTAAATATATTTGTTAAAAATACTTAAAAAAAAGTAGGGGGTGGGTAGCTAAGTGGTTAGTGCGTTGGCCTGTGGACGCGATTTTTTAAATTAATTAATTTATTTAAAAATTAATTCTGATGCCTAGCGAATATTTCCACTTGAACATTCACTGTTGGGTTCTAATTAACATTGCTGTTCCTAATTTGGTACGCTATCAAAGCCATTACACGAAAGAAAAAAACAAAAAGAAAATATGTAACATAAAAATTTATTTAAAACAAACGAAACACAAAAACTAGTAGAAGTTAAGTATAGAATAGTATAAAAATATTAAATAGTAATATTATAATAGGAATTTATAATTAAATATTTTTCGAAATTTTCTATTAAAAATTTTTATCTTCTGTCTGTAAAAATATGTTTTGATATAGAAAAGGTCCTTTCAACATCTATCGAAGTAATAGGACAATACCGTAATTTTGGAAGTAATGTACAGGGCCAACGTAAAACTTCTTTGGAAAATTTTCCCTCAAAAATGTTTTTCACTTCCCTTATTTCATTGAACCCTTCATTCTTTAATAAAGTTGTATTTAATTTTTTTCTAATCTTAAGGCCTATGTCACCAGGAGCATTGTTACATTTATCGGAAACTGTTGCAATAAAATTTGTTGAATCGATTAAACTTTTCCAATGAAGTTATTACATCAGGTAAAAAAACTAAAATTAACCTTTATAAACACAAGTTGCTTAGGCACAAGGGGATTTTTTAACAATTCTTTACTTTGCACTACACATTGTGAATTGTCTTCTATATCCAAAACCTGAATTGCTTCAAAATTTTCTGCATAGAATTTAGCTGCTTTAATCCATGTCCCCCATCGCGTAATTACGGGTTCCTGGGGCAAACACACCCCTACCATTCTCTCTTTATACAACTGCACTCTTAAAGGGGCTTTTAAAAATATTTTTTTCACATTCGAAATTAGCTTGTTAACCAAGGGATATTCTGTTCTCATAGTTTCTGCAACTAAGTTTATTCCATGCAGAAGACAAGTAACGTGGACCATATTTGGATAAAATATTTTTAAGTTTTGCCCTACTTTTATCATATATGGTGCTGCGTCAGACAAAAACACTAAGAACTTCTCTGAGGGAATTTGATTTGGTAAAAAAAATTCTGCTAGAGATTGTTGAATAAATCGGTTGTATTGTTAGTTTTTTCTAACTGTTTTGATGCAATTAAATATGATGTACCTGGTTCATTTTCTTTTAAGGCTCCAATCATAAGATGTACCATATATCTTCCACAAGCATCTGTGCTTTCATCAACAATGATGTAAAAATTGCTATCATCCAGTAAAACTTTAATTTCTTCTATTACATTTATATATATAACATGTATATTTTTTTTCTGAGTGTAGATTCGTCAGGAATGGTTTGATTGCAATATTTTTGTAAAAATTCTCTTAGATGTAGGTTTTGTAACTTCTTTAATGGAATATTTGCCGCAACAAGAGCTTTGCACAAGTCCTGATTAAATACCTCCTTGTCACTTTTTGTTTTGTCGGCGTTTTGAAATGACCTCACAACGCATTGTTGAACCGGTTGTGATTTCATTTTTTGCAATTTGGCTTTATGCAATGATGTTTTCACGTGTTGAACCACTTTGAACTTTTTTTCGCAAACCACTATTTTGGCACAAGCTTTACAAAAAACTTTATCCCCATTGATTTCCAACTCTGGAAAGTTAATAATCCACGAAGAAATTCTTGACATTTTAGGACACTTTTAAAACAACAAATTATTACAAGACTTTTCACTAGGCAAATAACGAGGATACTATATCATTAAACTGAATGAAAAACATTCAAAATATTCCGATGTTAGGGTAGATTGGTTACAAGAAATTACTGAGAATTTTATATAAACCGTTTTATTGCATTGTAGGTAATACTTTATCTGTGTAAATACCATCTATTAACAATTACCTTAATGAGCTTAATCTCTTAAGAAGGTAAAAACCCAGTGCATGCCACCCTCCAAGAACTAATTAACAAGAATTTACAAGAAGTGACACATAAAAACAAATACAAAAATTTAAAAGGTCTTTATTTCAAATATATCTGTATAATCTGTTAAAAAAGTTTTTGAATTGCACAGTATTGTAATACATTTTTTTTTTTCGAAAATATGCAATATTTTCTTAAATTTTCTGAACTTTGGTAAAATATGCAATATTTTCTGAATTTTGGAAAAATATGCAATATTTTCTGAACTTTGGTAAAATATGCAAAAAATGCATATATACGCATTTTGCATATATTCCGCTCTCTACTCAAAATATTAAACTTTAGCCAATATTATTAGACTAATAAGTTTTATGAAATAGGCCCCTTAACTAGTTTTAGTTTTAAATGTATGTATGTTTTTGTTTTTTTTATGAATGTGTTGGCGTTTGGGTGAAGTGAATGTATGCTGCATTAATAAGTTAATATTAAGTCATATTCTGTTGTGACCTGCTGTTAATCATTTATTGTAGTGACAGTTCATAAAATTCTATTCGTTTTCTGCGAAAGAATGCAAATAGCTCTCAAAATTATATAATAGTGGTGCATGGACCATTCACTGTCTATCAATCCCAAGAAGACAGAAATGATCCCTTTCACAAGGAAAAGGATGATAAATCAACTAAAACCTTCAAATCTCCTAAACACAAAACTCTCTCTCTCTCTAGGGATGCGACATATTCTCTCTTTAAGACGTTCCTAGTTAACTTAAAAACAAATAGCATTCCTCATGTATTTCCACCATAAACTAATATGCTAATACGTTGAATTTGTAGGCCAATAATTTTTACTGCCTATTGTGGTTAGTAAATAAATTATACGATTTTAAATGCAATTCCAGTTTTAATGGACTCAGAAGCTTTATGCCTTGAAAATCGCATAATACTGATACATATATTGAAGCAAAATAATATTTGACTTCATGAAAGCACAGAAATAAAGTTTATATTCTACAGTTATGGCAATGTAAACCGAGTTTCATTGAGAACATCTATGAAATTATGAATAACCTGTTTACACATATTTCTACACCGAATGGCGACTAGAAGTGATACTTTTACTTCTTTCTCGATCAAGTAGCGACGTTTCCATTTCTATGACCTGACACATTGACTGTTGACATTGTAATTTAAATCATTGTGTGAATATGCTTGATTTTATCTAACAGAGTGCAAAAATTCTCATTTATGAGGTTGTTATAACGGTACTTGTTGCAACATTTATTCGAATGTTTATTGATTTCATATCCAGATGTTTGTTTTGTCAAAAGTTTTATTTCGTTTTGAATCTTGGAGTGTTTAGTAATTTGTCACACAATTTTTTTTTAATACATAGAGTGAGTTAAAAAAAATCTACTGTAGAGGACTTT